ATTCCAACACACACACACACACACACACACACACACACACGCACACACACACAACACACACACTCTCCGCTCATACGTGACTGCTGTTGCACTTTGCCTCGTCAGGCCATGCGTGCCTGTCTGCAGCGACAAAGGAGTTGCCGTTCTGCAACACGAATCTGTCCATCGGTGCCCGCCTCCACGACCTCATTGGACGCCTCAGTCTTCAGGAAAAGGCCGGCCCATTGGCCCTGATCCCGTCACCAGCCCATGCGCTGTTGTTGACTGTGGCGTCAAGAGGTGGGAAAGGACATACAGCGCTCACGCAGTGACTCGTGACTGCCTGCTTGTGTTCCCCCCACTTCTTCGTGCCACAGCGGCATCAACCGCCACCACCACTGCTCACGGCAACACCACATTCTTCCTTCATGCTCACATGTGTGTGTGTGTGTGCATGGGTTGCAGGCTTGACATCCCGCCGTATCTGCATTTGGTGGAGACGAACACGGCCGTTGCCTCTGCGTGCATCATCAGCCAGGACAAGTGTGCCACCCACCTTCATTGGCCCCACAGGTCTTGGCGCAGCCGTCAACCGAGGGTGTGTGTATGTGTGTGTGTGTGTGTGTGTGTGTGTGTGTGTGTGTGTGTGTGTGAGAGTGTGTGTGCGTGTGTGTGCGTGTGTGTGTGTGTCTGCTATGTCAGCTGCTTCTTGATCAAAGCTCCTGTCGTTCATTTACCCACCCCACCTCGCCCCCCCCCATACTGGTTCTTCGCTTCCAGGTCATATCCACGGAGATGCGCCTCCAACAATCTCAACTGGCACAGGGGCGGCGGCGTCTTGCAGAAGATCGGACTCACAGGTACCCCCTTCATCACGTGTTGCTGATGCTGGTGCACATCACACCCATGCGATCACTCTACAACAGTCGCACGCATTGCCACCAACCCCCTTCACACTCACACCACTCACTTACTCACACACTTTGCAGGCCCACCCTCTCACCTTCACTGCACCCCTCTCAACCGCTGAGACCCCTTCTTGAGCGGCTATTACGCTGCTCCTTACGTGACCGACTGCCAGGACGGCCCAGACAAGAAGTACGAAGAAAAATGGCAGCAGGTACGCACCCGCATCCACACTCACACATGTGTGTATGCAAACGCCCACAACCGTGTCGGCGACGCTGCCTCATTTGCACACTTGATGGAGGTCGTGTCATTTACACTGCTGTCATCGCTCCGTCGCGCTCTTTAGGTCTCAGGCACTTTGACGCGTACTCGGTCGAGACAAACCGCATGGCATTCAACGGGAACATCTCCACCTTTGATCTCTGAGACACCGAGGTATGTGTGTGTGTGTGTCTGTGTGTCTGTGTGTCTGTGTGTGTGTGTGTGTGTGTCTGTCTGTCTGTGTGTCTGTGTGTGTGTGTGTGTGTGTGTGTGTGTGTCGGCTCGTGCACCTTCCATCAACATTTCTTGTCAGTTCGTCCACGCCACCATACTTGTACCATCCCCTTCACCTCCCACTTCCTCATCTTCATCCTACTCCTCTCTGCCATGTGTTTTATGTGCAGTACAAGCGCAGGTACTCGCTGTCATGTGCTCGTTCGCCAGCATCAACGGCGTGCCCTCGTGTGCGAACAACATGCTGCTCAACGACGTCGTGCGCGGGCAGTGGAGGGGTGACATGGTGACGATTGGAACAGACTGCGGTGCGATTTGCAAACATGGTCGACACCAACAAGCACGCCCGTGACTTCCGTCGACGCTGTCGCGAAGACGCTGCACGGTGGCGAGGATATGGAGCTCCGGGAGACATACTTCACCACAAACGGCAACTTGGCGCAGGCTGTGCAGCAGAACCGCACGGCAATCGACACGGTGCACAACACCGTGCGGCGGGTCCTCAAGGATAGCTTCATCACGGGCCAAATGGTACGTTGACTTGTGCTGGCTTTGTGTGTGTCTGTGTGTGTCTGTGTGTGTCTGTGTGTGTCTGTGTATGTGCTCGTGCACTTGTCCTCCTCGTCTCTTATGAGTGTCGTGTTCTTGAGAAGATGAAGCGGTGCACGGTTCCTCAACACTCACAACAGTGCTGTCATTGCGTCTCACCCCATCCTCTCCTCCACTCCCGCACCTTCCCCTCCAGGCATCGATGAGTGCACGGCCTGTGGACCCAAGCCTCACCTCCAGTAACGGCCCCTGCATCAGCGAGTGCCCCGATGGCGGGCATGAGCTCGGCAACGGGTGTGCTGAATGCCATTCCACGCGTGTGCCACTCCACCAAACGCCACCGACTGCTTCAACCTCTGCGACAGCAACCTCACCAGTCGTGCATTGCCCATTGCCCTCTCAACTACTACGCCAAGGACCACCACTGCGTGCCATGCACCACGTGCGGCATGGGCACCTGGGCCTCCGCCCCGTGCACCTCGTCCTCTGACGCCGTCTGCTGTTCCTGGACCGAGCGCAAGCCGGGTCAGAAGGAGTCCGTCTCTGGCAACGCCGTGCGCGACCGTGCATGCGTGAACTGCACCCTTTGGCAGGGAGTACCCGCCGCTGCCGGACCGCGCCTCGTGCTTCCCCACCAGCGTGTGCGAGGAGCCCTTCATCGAAACCATCCCGCCCACGCTCACCACAGACCGCCTGTGCTCCTGCGACACGCTCACATGCAACAAGCTCATTACGCAGCTGTTTGAGGAGATGGTGTGCGCTGAGCCCACGGACGAGCAGCTCGACGTGGTGCTTGACGTGTGCTGCTCCAGCCAGGGCGAGGATGGCATCCGCGACACCATTCGCCAAATGGACGCCTACGAGGCACGCCGCTCCTGCCCAGACTGCACAGACACGTGCGAGTGCAGCGCTGGCTTCATTCTTGTCGACGACGCCGACTCGGCCAACTGTCGGCCATGTGACGGCGTAACGGAGTTCTCCCCATCCATTGGCGGCAGCAAGCGCGAGCCCATTGAGGAGTGCGAGTGCGGCCAGGAGGAGGTCTCCGCGCCAACCCGCTGTTCCTCGGACGGCGTGTGCCGCGACTGCTCGGCCGGCACCATCGATTCGGACAGTGACGGCTCCACGGGTTGCCACATGTGCCCAACCACCCACTACACGGAGGCGGGCTGCCACGGCTCCTGTTCCAGCTTCACCTGCCGCGCGGGCACTCACGACCACGACAGCGACCCCGCCACCCTCGTGCATGGACGTCACAGAGTGCGCGCCCGGGTTTGAGGAGGTGCAGGCGATGACACTCCTCATCAGCGACCGTGTCTGCGACGAGTGCCCGGAGGGCACGTACAAGGCTGTCTCTGGCCAGCCAGGGCGTGCCCTGCCTCCCCGTCACCACGTGCGATGCGGTTTAAGAGTATTCGATAGATCCCCAGCCAAGATGGAGCGCGAGCATGGACAGGCTTATTGGATTTCAACTTTTAAACATAGATAATGCCGGTGCCATTGGTGAAGTCCTGGCTCACA